CTCGTCTCTCATTAGCAACTCGTTCAGCGGCCTCGTTTCGCTTCGACGGCTTTCAGCCTCACCCTGCTTCATTCTACTACGTTAATAAATCATTAGCTCATCCATGAACATGATTTCTGCCCGAGTCTTGTCGGATTGCGTCGGCTGTGGGGATGAAGACGACAACTCCCATGATTCCACATTCAGTCACGGCGTCATCAAAATACGCCTTTGTCTATTTGTTTATTTTGAATACGCGCCCTCTAGCGGCGAAAATGACATATTGTGCTTTTAAAGGGCAGTTAGTGTTTTACAGTAGTTTCAAACTGACGCACAGCTTGTTTTCTCCCCGCAGTATGTGTATTTCCGTATGGGCGTGCGGCAGCCAGAGATGGTAAAGGCAAAGCTGTTCAGGTTGCCTCTGTCCGAGCTGCGCTGTCGTCACTGTTTTCTGGAGCGGAGGGGACTCTACCAGACGCCAGACAAGAAGGGCCAAACACTCATCCTCAACCCACCGCTCAAAGACGTCCTCTGCGTCTCTGAGGAAACCTACCTGACTCAGGTCGCCATGGCAACTGCAGAGGAGTTCCATGTTTTTCGCAAGCTGATGGCAAGAGAGCAGGAGGAAAAAGGGAGGGAGGATGAATACAGCAGTGATGAGGATGAGGAGGATAAAGATGATGATGATGATGGACTGCACAGGAGAAAGTGTCACTGGAACACTGGTTACAAGAAGGACAGGAAATGAGGCATTTTGTATTAAATGTTCAAAATGAATAAAAACTACTTCATTCAGCAAAATTTCATAATGATTTTTTTTGGGATATATGATGGTAGCAACTCATGTTTTGCATAAAAGACCTAACATATGCAAAGCACTACTGTTTACAGGCTGGTGGTCATGCCAACATTTTTTTATATTATTTGTTTGTTTAATCCTCCATCTCATTTATTGCTTTATAAGCTTTTACCTCCGGATATGAGGTGCATAGTAGTGTCGAGGGACATTGAGGTAATAATGGTGTTAGTGTTAGTTTATCTCAACGGCCTGTCATGGGGAGGGTCAGCATAATTTACACCAAATGCTGAGTAACCAAGGAGAGCTGAAAGAGTGTTAGTGCCGTGCGATCGTTTACGGATCTGTGCGCATCAGTGGAACGACTGCTCTCTGATAACGAGGACAGAGTTGGGAGGTATTGATCTGGGGCGACATTATTTTAATGGAGGCCTGGATGGAAGCAGGAGTTACTGCACATGTGGATGAGTGGAACAGGTATGCGTGGAACAGGAGTCATATTAACACGATTAATCGATTGTTAGTCCATGCGTTCATATTGCATTCTTCCTCTTTGAACTGTTTGTCGATAAAACGGGGCTGAAATTTACAATAGTGTTTTGTTCAGTTGGAACTACAGTACGTACCATTTGTGTATTTATTATTAAGAGTTTTTATCACCAGTACAACAAACAAGCACATTATTTGCATTGATTTTTCTTGCTTGTCAAACATGCTACTGGCATTTGTGGTTGAAATTTGTATATTTGGAAGTATATTAAGCTCATTCAATTTCCCTCAAAAGTATTTTTTATATCATATTCATCACTATTAACCCTTGGATTTGTGACAAAATGTTTTCTTGAAAATGTGCGGACTCACATATTTTCATACTTCTTAACAACTATTGATATTTCTTTCTTTCCTTTTTTATGTAGTATTATTGGTAACATTAACTTTCCATTATAACTATAGGGACAGTGTGTAGTCTATTTGCTTTTATTCTGTTTTCGGGGGTTAAAATTATTTACAAAAAATTACCAAATTGTGTATTGGGAGGGAAAATGCTTTGTGAATGTTTGATGGTTTTAATTTTTTTTTAAAAAGGAATGATGGTATCATTTATTTGTGTAACATTTATCCGTCATTATTTTTGGAGAAATTGTAATCTGTAAAGATTTGATCAGGTCATTATAACAATTTAAAGGGATAGTTCACCTAAAATGAAAAGTCCCCAAGAAATTGTTCTTCCTCTGTTGACTTTTAGCCGGTACATATTGAAGTGACAGTTCCTTTAAAAAAAAAACACTGTCATGTCAGTTGCCAGTTATATTAGGAGGAAGGACATTCTAATTCTATAGAGCATTTAATTGGACAAAAAACTGTGTAGTGCAAAATGAATGTGTTTGATTTTTTTAAAGTCTCATCCAAAGTTTACAGATCATATGGTGTATACGTCTGTACTTATGTTTCTTCTCTTTTCTGTAGGTAGAGAAGCCGTCTCAGTAAACAGAGGAGCTGTTGTTCTTCAGCCTAAAGCTTTCTCTCAGTAGTGTGGTGCTAAACTCCAAATATGACTCAGTCTTTCATTGTTAACATCTCGGTGGATTGGTACAACAAAGCGGAGAGCAGACACATGGATCTGTTCCTCATCCCTACGGTTCTGCTGACCTCTGTCACACTGCTGGTCAACCCCGTTCTGTCCCTCTGCATACTGTGTTTTCCTACGCTACGTCAAGAGACCCGCTACCTACTTCTTGCTAACATGCTCTTCGCCGATATGTTCTTCCTCGCCATAAATCTTGCGATGGTCTCCTGCAACTCCGTGGGCCTGCACATGCCCCACTCGTTGTGCGAGTTTATGATGGTGAGCATGGTAATGACATACAGCACGTCTGTGCTCACTATCACATTGATGGTCGTCGACACATATGTGGCAGTACGTTGGCCATTACGTTACAAAGAGATTCTCCCACCATCTCGGGCCAGGAAGATAATCATGAGCTTGTGGGTAATGGCCGCATTGTGTCCCGTCTCTTTGCTAGTGATGTTTGAGGTGGTGATGGGCAGTGACAAGCAGAGCCGTCCAGTGTGTTTGATGTTGATTGCGCTGCACTCGTTGGAACACAAGATGAAGGTTGGCGTTCATTTGTACTTCATCATTGCCATCAGCCTCTGCACTGTTCTCATTGTGTACTGTTATATCCATCTCTACATCATCACTAAAACTTCTGGGATATGGCGTAGTCGGTACTCCCGGGCGCGCATGACACTTCTGGCGCACACTCTGTTGCTCATGATGTATTTTGTACCCGCGTTGGTCTTTGCCGTGGAGCTGGCTCTTTTAAAGGAAGAAAACGTAGATGTTGTGGGAGTGTGGATTAACTTGGTGAACATGTGCGTGTTGATGTTGTTGCCACGCTGTTGCACTCCTTACCTGTACATCCTGCGCTATCATGAGATTTACGAGACTGTCCAGCAGGTGTTTTGGAAGAAGCGACACCAAAGTCAGAGGAGTGCAGCCTAGAACTGGACTTGAAGCAGAGCAAGCCTGCAAAATAACTGTATCCGGTTGCTCTGTCGTTGGGAGGATTCATTTGCTGAAGAGGGAATTTAAAAGACACCTGAGCCAGAAAGAGATCTCAAAAGAAACTTTTTATATTTTAGTATTAATTTTTGTACATTCTATTAAAGCATTTTAACATGAATGTATATTAAGAATGTTTTGATCTTTTTTATATTTTCATATTTAAACTAAAGACTGATATGTGCTGTTATTCATCATAACATAACTACATAAAGTGCAACTGGGTGAATCTCGCAAAGAAATGTCACTAAGACTTAATTACAAATAATAATAATAACAGTAGTTCATAAATTGGGCTTAATTTTATTCATGCAAAATATATTTTTTATATTCTTTTCTTTACTTTCTTTCATTGTGAGATTTACCCAGCTATATATGAAGAGTTCATTTGCAAAAACCGATAACTCCATTTATTTTTTTATTTTTTTTCCAGAAATCACGTTTTTTTTTATTGCGCATTCCAAGTAATATCAATCAAACTGCAGTTGGTTTGTTTTGATTAAGTAATAATAACTTAAACAAATACAGGTAATTTACTAAATTAAAGTTAATTGAAAGTATGTTTGTTTGTTTGTTTTTTACATATTAAAAGTTTGTTTTATCGCAAAAGCAGATAACTCCACATTTCATGTTTAAGAGTTAAAAAAAAGTGGACAAAACCGGCTTTTTTGACAAAACGTGTATAGGATTCAGATCGCGCTATATGTGGAGAATAATGCACACAATCAGCTCTTTTTTTTTTAAAGTGGTGTTTATCGGTTTTTGCAAATGAACTCTTCTACACACACATAAACACTGTATATATACACACATACACTTATAAGTAATTTTATGAGTACTATTTTATTTATATATTTTTATGGTTTTCATGATTTTGTAGGATTCAGATCGCGCTATATGTGGAGAATAATGCACACAATCAGCTCTTTTTTTTAAAGTGGTGTTTATCGGTTTTTGCAAATGAACTGTTGTTATGCATGCCCACAATATTGATTCAAACTCTTGTGTAGAGATAATGCGGTTTTGTTCTCTTGGCAAGATAAATAAATTTACATTTCAGGATTTTTACACGATTGTGTCTTTCTCCAATTTCCTATAATCGTTCAATGTTTAACCTGTGTGGCACTTAATCCTCTAAGTTAAACAATCAATCAGTCCAAAAATAACAGTGTAAATGTTAAGCAATACTTCTGATTCTAGGAAGACATATCAATATTTATGCCTAGGTGCAAAATCCTTGAGTGTCATTCTGATCCATTTAGCTGTGAAGTGATATTTACCCATTTCTCCTCCTCCATGGAAACCATTTACAAGTGTGCCTGTGACAAATCCACATCTGTCCCATAAATCACTTACCACAGTCTGCAGGAAGGGGGAAGGAGAGACACATTTACCTTCAGCCCTGGATTGGACGCACAAACACATGCCAAGAGATGGAAACTCTAATGGAGGGAAAGTCAGAGCGTTTCTACCTAGCTGCAGAAGACCTTTTTTTATCTCTGCTTTGTTCATTTGGCAATTGGTACAACAAGTCGGGTCGAGCTGAGCTTCACATACGTTCTTCTAAGTTCTCTAACTCCTCTGAAAGCCCAGCGGAGATGTTCGCGCACGAGTGGCATGGATTCATCCCTCCCTGCCACATGAAGGTGCTTCAGCTGTGCCCCATTTTGGCCTTCCTGGCCATTCTGCTGATCACCCCGGTTCTTCTAGTACGCATCCTGTCCCGAGTTGACCTGCGGCAGCAAACGCGTTACCTCCTCCTGGCCAATGTTCTCTTCAGTGACCTGCTCTTTGTTTGCATGAACATCCTGAGTGCCTGCATCAATTTAGCCGGTGTGTTGATGACGGAGTGGCCGTGTGCCGTGCTGCTCTTCCTCTCTGCGGTTTTATACAGCTCTGGGGTACTAAGCATTACAGCAATGGTACTGGATACCTGCTTTGCAGTGTTAGCCCCCTTTCGCTACCTGGCACTGTGGCCTGTGTCACGGACCTACGGAGCAATTGTCGCCATCTGGGTCATCTCTGTCTTTCTTCCTGCAGCAGCTGTTGGCATGTTTTTGTGGTACCATAGTACGGCCCCCTGCGCCCTCCACCTCTGCTCCCTTCCTTTGCTGATGGTTTTGACCGTAAGCCACTTTCGCCCACTCCATGTCTCCATGCTGCTGACGGTCACAGGTATCATTTTCATCCTAATTCTAGTGTTGTCTGGTTACCTCATCCTCTACTTTTGTACCCGTAGTTCGGGCGTGTGGAAGGGCGAGACCTCGTCTCGTGCTAGAGGAACATTTCTCATCCATTATCTCCACCTGTTCCTGGCTTTCTGTCCCCTGCTGGTTTTGATGATCGAGCTGATGCTTTGCCACAACAGTGAGACTATGGACCCCAAAGCAAGCCTGTGGATGTCCCTGGTGGTGTGTAACATCTTGCTCA